ATGGTAACTTTTTCCAATATATTTTGGTTAATACTATTTCATTTTAAGCTAACTTATCCTATTGTTCACGTACATATAACATGTTTAGATAACGGTAAAAAAAATATTCAACAAAACAATTAATTTGTAGATAGTTAAAGATAAAAGTTCTACATTTCATCTGGAGCGTTCACCTCGACGAACACTAGGAAATACACAAGTTTGTCCACAAAACTGAACTCGACAAACAACTTTCATGAGGTTTCAGTTACATATTCAACAAGAGTTATGATTATAAGCTTTCCTTCTTCCAATAAATATGCAGTAGATACTTACCAGTCACATTTTGTAACTTGTTTAACAAAATTTAAAATAGAACCATTTTATATCTGATAGTTAGGCAAAGAATTTTCTATCCAATACAGTTATTGAAGTTATAATAAAAATAGTGTAGTAGAATAAAAATAAGGCAATATTATTCAATTTAGGTTGATACAGAGTAGAAAGAACTACTCCATTTTTTACTGGACACTTTTTTAAAAATTGTATATAAGAATTGCTCTTCAAAATTAACTGTATGTGTCATAGAAAATGATACATTTACAACTGTGTCATTATGACAATAGTGATCTTAGTAGTTTTATATAAACCTATTATTCTGTAATTTTTCATTAAAATGTTCTTACGGTTTAATCTTTCATAAACATTTGCTCGGCCATTCTACAACTAGAGAAAATCGTTACTACTTCATATTTATTATAAATATTAAGATTGTCATTTTGTATATTATGTACCCAGTTCTCGAGTTTCTTTATTGCTGTAACTAGTTAATAAATAGCATCTAACTATATTGGATTTATTTATGAAGTTCGCTTCTGAGGGCTCCATAGGTTCTTAATCTTGTTCTAAAGAGTTAACACAAAAAGTACTTGCTAATAAGGCATTTTTTAACAACTCACACTACCATGCTAATAAGGCGGTAGTGTGAGTTGTTAACAAATAGGGAGAATGAATCACGAGCTTGTACCATTGGAAACGTCTTTATGTGTTTGTAACATAACTCTTTTTTTTTCTTTTTTTGTGAGCAAAATGAACTGATTTGTCTACAGTTTTGCGTTTAAAATTAAGCCTATAGCGCTTACGGTGTGGTAGTGTGAGTTGTTAACAAATGCCTTATTAGCATGGTAGTGTAGTTGTTAACAAATGCCTTATTAGCATGGTAGTGTGAGTTGTTAACAAATGCCTTATTAGCATGTACGAGATCCCAGTCCATCATAGATTAACCCCCAACTAACAGCTAAGTACCAATCATACAGCTGAGTAGACTGGAAGAAATGGGCTAAAGTGACAGGAACCAGTCTCGACCTCGCAACTATTTAACTACGAGCCTAAAGCGCGAAGCCACTTATCCACGCTGCCCCAAACTGGACAGAAAATATTTGCGAGAATGCTTATGTGTATTGAATGTTTCCAGTTTTAGACATTTATTCCCAACTGACCTTCAGTGGAGATCAAAATTCGATCATATGATCGAGACACGAAAATATAGTTTCAGTAACGCTTATAACACAATCATTGCTCCATGAATGTCTTTAAACATAAGATTGGTTCTAATGAGCCACGTTTCTGTAGTGTTTGTGTTATCCTGACAGTTGTGTAATGAAGCGAGGAATGTTCTGATGGCAAGTATTCTCCCCATTGATTCCAATCATATTTGCCTCATATTGTTGCATTTTTACACAATTCAATATTCAATTACACAGTATTATTGTGTAACAATGCAACACAGCTGTAGGGTTTTAATTTGTTTGTTTGTGTTGAATTTCGCGCAAATCCACATGTGGGCTATCTGCACTAGCCGTCCCTAATTTAGCAGTTAAGACTAGAGAGAAGGCAGCTAGTCATCACCACCCACCGCCAACTCTTGGGCTACTCTCTTACCAACGAATAGTGGGATTGACCGTCACATTATAACGCTCCCACAACTGAAAGGGCGAGCATGTTTGGCGGGACGGGGATTCGAACCCGCGACCCTCAGATTGAGAGTCAAGCGCCCTAACCACCTGGCCATTTTGTCTGTCAGTACAATGATTCGATAACGGTGGCTACTATTATTTTGTCTGTCAGTACAATGATTCGATAAAGGTGGCTACTATTATTTTGTCTGTCAGTACAATGATTCGATAACAGTGGCTACTATTATTTTGTCTGTCAGTACAATGATTCAATAAAGGTGGCTACTATTATCTTGCCGGTCAGTACAATGATTCGATAACGGTGGCTACTATTATTTTGTCTGTCAGTACAATGATTCGATAACGGTGGCTACTATTATTTTGTCTGTCAGTACAATG